CGAAGTCACGATGCCGATGCCTCTTCTAGTCTATCAGCAACAACCTACTGTGGGAGAGAACAAACCAGATTTCAGTGGAGGAAGAAATCTGGAAGTTGATAGGACACATATTGAGGAAATCACCCGACTGTGTCACAAGTCAGGCCCTCACATAGAATCCTGAATGCCAAAGGAAAAGAGTAAGACCTGTAGTATCAGTTTATATGTTAAGCCCATATACTTTATTCTAGTTGCTGGCCAAGCCAATTCGCTTATCCATTATGAGTCATATTTTGATCTTGTTAATCATTTGCTTATTAACCTTGACTATACTTTTATATGAGCATATATGTGTACACTTCGTATCTTATTCACTCATTTTTGTCCGACTATAAATGTTGATTAACGCTTGGTTAAATCGAGTTGGCTACCCCGCCACCTCCACTACGCATCATTTTTGCTTTGCTCTCGAGTCGGCTTCCCAGCCTACCATCCAATGCGCATCATTTTTGCTTCGTTCCGCTGTCATCTATTTGCTTCATCACTCTGATTCCTTGGCCAGACTAATGAGTGTAGAAGTTATATGTATTCTAAATCCACTCTCGTATTTGACTTATTTAACTCCGTTATTCACTAGCGCGGACAAAGTCATTTATTACATACGAAGATAGACAGCACGTACGATCAAAAAGGAATCAGATTTAGGCCACTACAGACCAACGAACACATTACACCGAGAAATGGAGACAGATATGAGAAGAATAAACAAAAGTTGGATAGAACTAGAAAGGAAGGCCTAGGACAGAGTGGGTTGGAGAACGCTGGTGATCGGCTTATGCTCCATTGGGAGTAACAGGTGTAAGTAAGGTTATTCACTTAAATTTATCAATAGATGGCAAGTTCATGGCACAGTGAGACCTACTGTAGCCTTGGTACAGAAAAAGTCTGTCTACATCACCTTACCATTTAGAGGTGATTGAAATAGCCTTTTATTGAAACAAAGACTTAAATCAGTCATCAACAAAACGTATTGTGCAGCGAAGGTGATTATCAAAGAAAGAACGAGGTCCATGCTTCATTTAAAACCTAAAAGACATGAAAACGATTGTGTCACATCCCACTGAGTTTACCAATTTAAATGTGTGTTTGTTTGTGGTCACACATACATAGGGAGGAGCAATCGTGATCTGAAATTAGGGTGTGTGACCCAATAAGAGTAGAGGATAAACATCTGTCATCCTTTATTGCCAAACATATAATCGAAACAGGCCATAAGATTGATCTAAACTCGGATTTTATGGTGTGAAAGTGCGTATACTAAGGTTTATTGAAGCCTTAGTCATACGAAAATTTAAGCCCGCTTTGTGTATTCAAAACCAATTTGTTCTCACCCGTAAACCTATCCTAGTAATATTAGCTTATTATTATTAACCTTGTCTCCTTTTACCCCCCCATTTCCAGTCTAGTTGACTTTTTATTTTTATATATAAATGATCTTAACAAGTATATTACATGTGATCAGATTGTTCGAAATGTATTGCGCTAATGTCTCATCACATAGTTCTGATATTCTTCGTCTTCTTATTACATTATAAAATCATAGTTGAAAGCATGAGTCAAATTGAAGCTAGACCACCAAGGAAAACCTAGGAGCACTGGACGTCCATCCAATGGTGGTCTAGCTTCAATTGACTCATGCTTTCAACTTTGCAAATACAAAATCTTCACAAAAAACTCCTGATTATAAAATCATAGACAACGAACAAGATCTGATTAATTCAAATTATTTGACCTTTCATTGTTTACATTTCAAAAACAGCTTAGAATTACTGAACCAGGATTTATTTCAAAGAAAAACTGAAGCATTTTGTTTTTCAGTTCTATGAATCGGTACTAAGCTGATAAGTTGTGAGAGTATGAATAAAGAATCATTTTACATTTTATTAAAATAGCACATTTGACAAGATAGAGTATAATGTGAAGATAATGTTTATTATAATCATATGAACTTATCGGCAAAGTATACGTCGCTCATCAGCAATCCCCACCCGAACCTCTCCTGCGTAATCTTTTCTAGTTCTTTCCAGTTGCTATCCATTCTTTTTATGTCTGCTTCCATTTCCCGATGCAATGTATTCTTCAATCTTCCTCTTTTCTGTTTTTACTCAGGATTTCAAGTTAGGGATTGCCTCGTAATGGAGTTCAATGATTTCCGTAGTGTATATCCTATTCACTTCCAACGTCTTTTCCTAAATTTCTCTTCAGCTCGAAGCTGGTTTGTCTTCTCCCATAAAAGTCTGTTGCTGATGTTGATTATTTTACTAAGACAACTACTTATAAATACATGTACCTTTTTGGTGAAGTGTCTGGCAGTTCTCCAAGTTTCAGTTCACTACAATGTAACTAACTGCTTTGAAGTTCGTATTGAAGATTGTGACTTTGACATTGGTTGACAGTTATTTCGGGTCGCATATGTTCTTCAACTGCAAGAATGCTGTCCTTACTTTGCCAATCTTTGCCTTCACGTCTGTATCCGATCATCCATATTCATCGATGATGCTACCCAGATATGTGGAACTTTCTACCTGTTCCACAGCTTCTCCATCAGGTGTGATTGTGTTGGTGTTCTATTTGAGGATGCCGCTTTTTCCTTTATGTATGTTGAGGCCTATTAATGCAGAGGCTGCTGCTGCACTAGTTGTCTTCATCTGTATGTGTTCGTGTGTATAGGTCAAGCCTCGGAATATTCATTTAAGCCTAAGAAATAAGCTACGATTCCTGAAGTCACAGATAACTGATAGATTTTGTTGGTATCAAGAATTGCAGCTATGTTTTACCTTGAAGTACAAAATAAACCTAATGAGGACTATCTACTATTACACGAAAAATCGAGTGTAAGATTATAGTGATCTGTCACCAGAACTGTCTACCTCAAATAATAATCAAAAGGATTGTCCGCTTATCTCACTACATTTGTACTTTCCACACAGACGGTAAGATATTACATGATTGAAATCTTAGAGGACCGATAGATCTATATTGAATAATAAATGTGCAGATACACAAACAAAATGAGCTGCACAATAGTAGAATTACATGACATAAATATAAGAAGCATATTCACTGAAAGTTACAATTTCCCATGGAAACATTAGAGTTATTATGATGGTAAAAGTGACGCATTAGTCACATGTTATCTGAGTTAATTCTGTTGGGAAGCTAGGATGAATGATGTAAATGTGCATTAGTACTATATTCTACAGACTAATTAAATTGTTCATTAACATTAGTAACATAAGGTAAGAGGAAGTAAACATTCTACTCACTCCAAAGTGAAATTAATACTCAGTATCTGGTGGTTTAACAGATCACAACTCATATTGATGTCCTCGTATGATGTACTTCATGGCTTGTCAAGGTTTTCTGAATTGTCTGTATTGCGAACATCAATTTCTGAAACAATTATACCTCAAGGTAAATTTGGCTGGTCAGATACATGTTTATGGGATTGTTTACTGTTTATATAAGTTGTTGAAATTTTGCTATGCTCAAGACTTTGTTGAACGTTGGTGGTTGAAAAAGACCCTAGTTCACATAGTCTCAATCTGAAAACATCAGCACACCACATGTTTGTCTTACTGCGGATGCTAAACATCACAGGGATCTCATAGCAGGTTGAATCGAGATAACTTTGTTCGAAGTTCATAAATATTTTCTAATGTCCACTTTTGTGATTTGACCACACACGAAATAATGACGTATATTATAGTATTAGCTTAACAGTTTTTACGGTGATTGATCTCGACATATCACAGTGACGCTAGTAGGTGTATTAAAGTGTATTTAAAAATGTTTCACCTAGTTGTTTATTCACTGAAAATTATTTTCCAGAAGTTTCGGTTGCATGATAGTTACTATATATTGTGGATGACTATCATAAAACTGTGAAGATATCACTGCAACACCGAAACGTTAAGATATCATCACCCATATGCAGTGGATTTAATTGATTAGCATTAATAGTTGAGATCATGAGTCAATTAAGGCTAGACCACCATGGAAAACCTGGACGGCCGTTTCGTCCTATTGTGAAACTCCTCAGCAGTGCGCATCCACGATGTACCCTGTAATCCCCACAAAGATAACAGGAGATGATTGTGAGATGGCGAAGATTTGTAGCTGAGGTGGATTCTTTCTCTGGAGTTTCATTCTCTGGACTGCATAATCTAATCATGGAGCTCTCATTGACCCTCTGAATAACATGATCAGCACAAACCTCAAGTAGACGTGAAGTAGTTGAATCCCTTCACATATGAAGATCGTGAGCATTGGGACGAACATTGCTCTACTTCATATTAAACTGACATTTCCACATTAAATCAGCATATTTTTATCTGGACAACAAGAAAGCGAGAATGACAGACAAGAAGACTCAGTCAAACATTAGACACATGTATTGTATATCTGTCTTTCCTTCGGCAAAATTTCACTCTATACAATTAAGTCATGAAACAAAAAAAGAAGCAGCGACGAATTTCACTAACCACAGAAATAGAAATACTGTAAATTCACTTGATATTGTTTGTTTGAATCTTCTCATTGATGTTTAGGACTACAATTGATCAGTCTCTTATTGGCATACGTGCATACTTTGCGTTCTAAATAGAACGAGATACACGTGCTAGATTACACTGCTAGCCACTATCTGTCTTTGCTGAGAATGCTTGTGAATTAAGACTATATCGAGACCATACGCACAATAAGTGTCCTAAACATCAATGGAAAGTTTCAAACAAGCAATACCAAATGCGTTTAAACTTCACTCCATTGCACAAGCAAGCGGCTATCAGGACTCAGTAGCTAAGTGGACAATGCGATGACGTTTTAAGCGAATGGTACTAGGTTCGAGTCCCAGGGTGAACGTCAACTCTGAGATGCGGATGTACATCCAGCTAACGAATCCCAAATAGGACGAAACGCACATCCATCTTAGCTTATAAAGAAATACCATACTTTCATACCAATCTTTCATGAAGTTGTTTGACATTTCCATTAAAATCAAAGTAGTGAAATGAACAGACAGATTTTTTAAAAACGCGATAAAAAACACAGATGCTGACAAAACACCATGAGTAGTGTGTACATACACGATACAATGTTGTCTTTTATCTTTTAGAAACACAATAAAAATACAAACAAAGTCCAATCATACAATTATGCAATCAATATATATCACATTGAGACTATAGGATATGTGTATAAGAATTCGGTTGGATACGATGAATTTCGAGAAGCCTATGCTCTACAATACTTGGCATATGTAGATAGATAAGCTTCAACTTGATCTGTAAAAACAAAACCTTTAGTTGAGAGCTTCGACGCTACAATAAAACGATGAGGCTCGATGTGTTTTCAAATATAAAACCATAAATAAGTAAGTCAGTGGTACAGAGAAAGAAGAAGAAGAAGATGAGGATGATGAAAGGAGAAAATTATTCCTATTTAGAAAAAAACACAATTATTTATAATCAAAAGTAAATTCAGATCGATTTCCATGGGCACCAATCATAGGAGCACTTAATAATCTTGAAGAAAATTTAAATGCTGGTGCCATTACTTTACGATTAGTATTCAGCTTTTCAACTTTTGCATAACCATTCCAATGATTACCATGAAAGTGAACTAAATCACCAGGAGATAAATCATTTTCTTTATCTGATATTATTGTTTCATATGGTGAAGATTGTTGTCCACCAAAGTAATATATATCATCTAATGAACGAAATTGTTGACTTGCATCACCTAATTCTAAATGATTAGACTGCATCAATTCATAAGCTAATCGACAAACCTATTATAAGAAAGAACGGACAAAAAATATGGAAAGGAGATTGAAGGTAAATTATTAAAATAAATGAATAAAGTAAGAATGGGTGTTATTACCAAGGTTGAACTTGGTAATTTGAAATGAATGGAGGATTGATTAGATCGTTATTAATGAAAGTAGTATACTGAGCTGCAGTTTGCTCTGTTCTACTTTACGGCTGTGAAACATGACCAATAAGAATAGAAGATACTCGTAAGTTACTAGTATTTGACCACAGATTCCCAGGTAAGTAATAGTGAGGTTAGACACAGTGTATTAGGGAATGATGGTAAATCAGTTAATGGAGTCATGAATTTCCATCGACTGAGATGGTTGGGCCACGTGTTACGTATACCTGAGCACCGATTACCATGACGCGCTATGCTGACTAGTATTGCCGATGGTTGGAAGAAAGTGAGGGACGGACAAACCAAAACGTGGCATCAGTCCACAAAGTCACTAACTTTTAGTCTAAGCCATGTTGGTAGATGCAGACTACTTGGTTAGAATCCGCGTGACTATCGTAACCAATGGTTGGAGACTGTGTGTGACATGCCTCAGAATCGATCACAATGGCGTAGGTGTATACACTCTTTATCTTCCCTTAAACCTTCAGATTAAAATTGTTTCATATCTGTCTTCCTTCCTATACTATAACCTTACATACAACCTTTCTTTTATATATTACCACCACTAAATTAACTACTTCTATCAATTCGGTGTTCATCTTGTTGTGCTAACGAGGTATGGAAACTTGGACCGATGCATATATGTGCCTGGTCACACGTTGTAGCTGACTGATTCACTGATTACGAGTAGAAAGACTAGGGTTTTTAAATTTCCGAAGTTTCGTAACTCAGAGTAGGCTAGTTGTTCAAAGAATAAATGAACAAGTTGAATTGACCTAATTTTAAGAAGTAGAAAGCAAAAAAGCAAGAATATTCATAGAAGGATAGCTACAAAAATTGACTGTTGATAATATACAGATTGATGGCTAGTAATGTAATTCAGTACTTTACATTTATCGTATCTGCGGTTATTCAACTATTTATCATACGAGGTAAACAAGCTTTGGAATTCACCTTTAGTACTTTTCGTCAGTATTCTCTTATGAAACGGCTACATGTTAACCCTCTGGCTTTTAATCTTCCATAGAAAGTGTCAAGATATTTGTAAAAAGAACTTATAAATCAACAGTAAATAATCAGTTTGATACATCAATCCTTTAGCGTTTCCTAAATCATAGTTAATTTATAAACGACCAACCACTCAGTTCTCTTGTATTTATGGAACAGTTATGTCCATATTGTAATTCCCTAACTCTATTAACGTGTGGTCAAGATTTCATAAATTCGAACAGTAAAATCAGATACCATCTGGTTGCTGAGTTGTTCTCTATTTTGGCTATCGGGTAAGCGAATGTGGGAAACTGAGTTCTGATTCAATAGTTAATTAGTGTTACTCTCGGCTATTATCTCACATTTAGTATTTTAAAGGTTAGCTGAAAATCATTAGTAATAGATATATAGTTTAGGCGAACTAGTTGGTGCTCGAACTGGATCAGTACTACTCTTCTACTACCCTACAGTCCGATCTGATAGGTCCCACATAAATAAACAGTAAAATCTGTTTATTTTGATAGACATATCAGAAACTAAATGCATACATCTCAAAATGTATCAGAGGTTATAACACTGAATGAAACTAGCAAGAAGTAATTTCCGAATCGAAGAGAATCATACTTATCTATCAAGTCAACATTTCGAATACATATTCAGAGAAGTTCTGTAGTATTTCGATTTCAAATCACTAAGATAGTCAGCAATTTATCTCGACTTTACTTAGAATGACATCACTTATCCCCTTTACACACAAATCTATACTACTAAGACAATTTTTGGCTCGCAACATTACACTCAAAGGCTATGAAGTTGAGTCAGTTATGATCAATGTAGGATCAAGAAATGATCGGAATTCAGACAAAACTGGTTCGAATTTCACATCACAGATAAGAGATTACAAGTTAGCATGATCACCATTATAATAAGAAATGTAACTTACCTGTGAAGAAAAAGTACAAACTAAATAATTTGTTCTTGATAAAGCAAACACGTCAGTTACTACACCCATAATAGAATCTTCATTTTTTCTTCTGAAAAGAGAAGCTGAATCAGCACGTTCACGATCACCATAAAATGTATAATTCGGATACTTTGATTTAGCCTCATCAAATAGATTAGGGTCGTCTGTAGCTATATATACACGTCGTTTTACTGGTTTCAATTGATGATATACACTATGACGAAACGGTGATTTGATATCATTTCTCCACTCCTAATCGATAGAATTTATGAAATGCGAGATAAAAAAAACCAGAAGTTAATCAACACTGGAAACAATGCTCGTTTCACAATGCATAGGAAACGTGATTGATTACAAACCACGTTAGGTATATCCATATGTTAAGGAATTTCGATACCTCAAAAAAAGTTTACCATCTTTGATATAGAGTACATCGTCTTATATCCCGATAACAATAGTGAATGGCAACTTTGGGATCCATTTATGGACCAATATTATGCATATATTTTTATCGTATAATCGCTAAATAACTAAACTATTCATATCCATGTTCCCCTTATCATGAGCTTTATTTTGACCTATAGACTATTATTATACGATTTACCATTCATGAGTTATCCCTAGTCTATTAATTACCGCCTCCCACACTCACAGCCACAATTGGCTGAATCTTGTACAAATGTTATTTTCTATTTTATTTGTACGATGTGGTCAGTCTGTTTGGTATATAAACTCAGTATGTTTGAGAATAATGATTCATATTGCAGAGGCTGCTATTAGTGTTCTGGACTTAACTGGCTGGGCTAGGCAAAAAGCAAGATTGATAAGTACTTAAGACTGCTCATACGATTTTGTGTATTATTGCTCTGATCGATAATTCACTGCTCTCCAATTGGCGGTCTTATAACTTCATATATCAAACAGGGCACTCAAGCAAATCGCTATAACAGGAAGCCTTTACTCGCAGATATATCCACATGATAGTCAGTAGACAAATTGAAGTCATTTCTCGATGAATCTGATTACAATAGAACAGTTACTGCATACACATGAAAAGTTATGCTTAATCACTTACTTCAGTTCTAGACATCATTTGACGTTTGGCATCTATGAATTGGAAATAGCTTTCAACTTCAGTCATATATTCTTCTAAACTATGAAAACTCGCTTCAGTATTTATCTACAAATGTACAAAAAGAAAAAGGTTAACTTAATAATTCATTCAACATAAATCACGAAAGGGTTAGACAAAACAATGCTTTTTCGTATGCATTTAGATTCATATAAAGTAATTTGTTCACGAACTATGGTAAGTATCTTACCAACGAACAGGTCAAATGATAACCCACGACCGAAAGATTGATTGTTGCTTACTTGAATTCCTCAGTAAATTGAGAAATATCTGAAGGCGAAACAACTAAGCACAATGTGGCACCCGGTACATGTGTCAATCGGTTTGAGTTGACATAGCACGTTAGCACAGTGAAACAAAATTATTTCAAGACAAATCTCAGAGTATTCGAAGTAATAACAGTACCAGCAATATTAAAAACAAGATAGATGTACGGTGATTTCAGGATTCAAATTCTAGAAGTAAACAAGAAGTGAGTGAAATAAGAAATTATGTGAAATTTAGAAATTTGGAATCTACGGGAAAACAAAGAGTGGATGCCCTTCAGAAGTTGCGAACGATTTTGAGTCATATCATCCAAAGTCCCTAACCGTTGGTTGTGATAATAACGCAGAACCCAACTAGGCAGTCAAGATCTACCTACATGCTCAGACCAATTGTCAATGACTTCACAGACTAGTGTCACGTTTTGATCTGTTCGCAACTAGCCTTCTTCCAACCTACTCCTACACTAGACATCGTCAAGATTGACAATGGGTGGCCATACGTAACACATGCAACAATAACCTCAGTCGGTGGAAATTTGTTTCATAAATTGAATCCCCCTCTTTATCAAGTTCCTTATCCCCAACTCCAGCACTCCTTATTCAGTGGTCTCGAAACACAGAGCAATACTTCTGTTAAGTCGGCTTCCGGAGAACTCTAACAGAGCCTCCAGAGGCTCATAAAGAGCCCCCAACCAATCAGCGATTAATTAGAAGTTATGTTACTAAAATAACGAGATCCTGATTGGCTGATTAACACACTGCTACTATGTTTAGCAGTATTTTAGAACTTTCGGTAAAAATCAAGGTCTCGTAAATTACTATAAAATCCTTGTATTTTCTGTACATAAAGGAACCCTGTAGTAAAGTGCTTCCCTCACACTTTGTGCCTTTTCTCTGGTCTTCAAGTCGGTGTATAGTTCTAGCTCGGGGGTACGGAACTAGCTTAGGGAAGCGAATATGGCGTTCACAATCGGCCAGACGTAACAGTGGCGACGGGGATGGGAGAAATTTAATATCGAATGCTAGTAACCTAAGAATATCCTCTATTTTTAATGGGCATACTTCACACCCACAGATAAACGGATAGAAATGTTGAGCAGTAAACTCGTCCCTTTGGTTACCAAACGGATAACTCGCCTACACTGCAAGTGACACAAATTGTCAAAAAGCAGTCGAGCTTTTTGAATCCGTGCGTAGATATTATTAGACACCAGTCTAATGAGACTCATGAAACTCTCAAGATAAGTGCAGCGGTGGCTCAACTACTTGACTTCCTATCAATAATTCAAGAGTTGATGCAGGGCAGTCATGGAGCAACATTTCTCACTATTGTTTAATGCGGTTAGGAGACTACATTTTTTTAGAGCCTTCGCTAAACAAAACTATACTATCTGCGTATTCCAAGTCAACAAATAAATATGCTAGTAGAAGATCAATCACTAAAATGTTAGAAGATGAGTGTTATCTCCCAAAGGATGCCTATTATGAAGTTAAATAAAAATGAGGAAAGCGGAAAATCCTGACGAACACTACTTGAAACTATCAGTTTCGATGACAGTTGACCAGTAGTGTTTGGGTTGAGACTCAGAACAATCTTCATGTACTTCCTTGGTACGCCTTTCAATGACAGACACTCCAACAAAAACTCATGACCAACAGCGTCAAACACGCAATTAAGATCAAGGGATACAACCATAGTCGGACGTCAAAAAGTAATTTTATGTTCCACAACCTGCCGAAAAGTAAGTATTCGGTCTATAAATCCACGTCCAGGTATGAAACTAGACTGAATTTCTCAAGTTTGCTCTTCCCGAGCCTTGGTTAAGCGTTGGAATATTATTGAAGCTAATATTTTAGGCACTATATTAGTCAAACTGATTCTTCTATGATTGTCACAAAAAGCATTTTTGTCCTTTTTTGTAGACTACGACGACCAGCAATTGAGACCAATCAGATGGAATCACGTCCAGTTGATAAATTCTAGCTAAGATCTCATTCAACGTAACTGCTAAAACTGGACTTCGATCCTTGAAGATTCTCGGGGTTAATTCAACTAGACCTGCTGCTATCACCTGCTATAGATTACCCACATCTTCTCCAACTCCATTAAGAGTTTGAATATGTATGCCGATTCGCCATTTAAGTTGCTTGAAGATAATAGAGATTGTGTGTCTGAGGTCCAGTTGAGCTGTTACTTGGATCATTTTGCCCATCGATCCAATATCCTGAAATAAAATTGAATAATAGTCCCACCTTCTTGCGAGTTAGTCTCACTAACAGTCGAACTTTTAATACCTTTTTAATTGACGCTTGATTAATTGTCTACTGTTGCCTATTGCCACTGCCTTTTCGAACTCTTTTGCCTTACGCTACCCACTACTGCTCACGATCATTGCTTAAGCTTCTTATCAGCTTACGTTCAAGTTGCTTCTGCTCTTCGTTGTGTTCAGAGCCAGACAGAATAAGTTTCCGAGCATTTCTAAGTTCAGTAGAGGACGTCCAAACCTTTTGATTTAGATTATTGGTTGATACCACTGCTGTTTGGATATCACTTTCACGGTTGACTAACTACTTTTCTAGTTCTTCCTAAAAAATATCCTTGACGTTTTCTATGATTCAGCTGAACTCTAAAAGATTAACTTCCTATGGTTTTTCTATATTCAGTAAGATGCAGACAAGTACGTGCTTCTACAAGACAGTGATCTGGTCCGGGATGATTGGTAGTCTCCAGAGATATGTTACTCAATAAAAATTATTTCACCCATGTGACGACGGTCCACATGTTTCACACTTTTCATCTAATCAGCTTTTGGAAGAATATTCCAGAACCACTACGTGTAGCTTCCCTATTGGACAAATGCTAATTACTCTCTGTGTGTGGGTTGGATAACTAAAATGATTTCGTTTTTACCAAAAACTATAAATATCTGAAAGTTTTGTACCATAATTAACACTGTTCGGAATAATATTCCTTCCACTTGTCTTCTGTTTTCTCATTTTGCGACTTGGGAAGGTTCTAGCGTTCGAGATATAACAACCCCGTTCACAGTTTACTATACTATTTAAGTTACCTGGCCTTACCTCTCCATATTGGTTGAATCCTTCTCAGTATACCACTGATTAGATTGGTTCTATGAGATTGAAGTGATTCTCCAGTAGTCAAATAACTCTAAGATGGCTAGGGAAACTTGTACATCGATATGACTTATATTTGGTTATTTAGTAATTTCATTCAATGATGTGTAATTTTACTCACAAATCGAATAGTAAATAATCACATCGTCACACTAGTTTAGTAAATGAAAATGAAAAACTATACAATAAGAGTACATAAACTCACTTTATCCGTACGTCGAACATGAATACCAACAATTGGATTATCAGATTGATTGTCGAATATTTTAAATTCTTCAGTTAAGTTGAACGTTGGACGCATTAAAAATTTACCCAACTGACCAATGAACCACACAAATGGGGCACCATGTAAACGCGTAAGTATTTTGCTCAAATGGCTTGGAACAGCTGGAGGGATCCAATCAAATGAAGAGCTTACTGCATCTATGCGCGGACACTTAATTGCTTGATAGGTATTAGATGCCTCTCCAGCAGAAACTACGAATGAAAAAGTCAGGAAAAAATTAACGAAAACATCTCTCACCAATCTAATTTTTGAACAGCTACACCCATAAGTGACCAAACGCAAAGGAACACCAAATACATATGTGCCACACAATAACAATGAAGTTGTGAAGAACCATAGGATGTAAAACGCTTATAATAGGAGAACAACAACGGACAGAAATTAATGTAGGAGAACGAAATAATAATAAGCAAAGATGGATAGTGACTAGCAGTGAAATCCGGCCACGACGCGCGTTTCGTCCTATTTGGGACTCGTCAGCTGGATGTACCTGCATCTCAGAGTTGATGTTCACTCTGGGACTCGAACACAGTACCTTACGCTTCAAACGCCATCGCGTTATCCACTCAGCTTATAATGCTTGTGAATTAAGGCAATATCGAGGTAATACGCACAGTATGCACATATGCAAATAAGAGAATGACCAGTTGTAGTCCTAAGCATCAATGGGAAGATTCAAACAAACAATAAGTGAAATAATAATAATAATAATAATAATAATGAGACAGTTCAGCTAGCAAAAATACAACCAGAAACAATTCTTTCACTTAAAAAAGTTACGTTCATTTCTTATGAAGAAGGTAAAGGAAAGCTACAGTAGGATCACCACTGGCTTCTATTCTAAGCCATGTCTGATAACGTCTCTAGCCACTATGTTGCACCATTTCTAGGACCCCAACCAGGGAGTCGTGAAGGACCAACAGAAGCCAGTCTTGTATAGCTTTCTTCCATACCATTACATCATGTCATACAGTGACCATCATTCCAACCAGTCCCAGCTCCGGCAAATATGCACAACATGGAACTCTGAGACGACATCCGTAGGACATGTCCAGGCCGCAGCAATCGATGTTTAAAGATAGTCACACTAATTGAATTATCATCGCTGTGCCCGAACACACGATGTCGAACCTCTGCATTACTAACATGATGTTACCATTGGTTATCAACGATCCTTCCAACAATGATGACCAAACACAGAAAGTCATCTAACATACTTAACTCGGAGTCCAGGTTTCACAAGCATAGAGCAAAAACCGCTCTCACTGACGCGTTGTAGATCCGACCTTTTACAGCCAGACTAACATTACGAAGGCGCCAATGATGGCCCAGATTGGCATAAGCCGCTCTGGCTCTGAATTGATCTCATCACTCATGCCCCCACCAGCACTTTTGCAGCAATATAGATACACGAACTTCTCAACTACTTCAATCTGCTCACCACCCAGCGTGAGTACAGGATTAGAACCCTGCCAGTCTTGTAGGCTCATCCCAATAGACGTAGAAATGAGAAAATACAATCTGGTATTGCTTGAAATAAATGAAACTCATTAAAAAGTAATCTGAACAAGAAAGATTCTGTAGTCTCGTCATAAAGAATAAATCAAATAAAAAGATTTGGCACTGAACCCCTCCAAAGAAGCACTAAAAGCGTCCATAGAATAAGAGACCCATGACTTCAGGATCATCAAAATATACTTCAAAACGAAGAATGAAAAGATTGCAATGAATGTCTCGCAGTACTTCATACTTAACACCAATGGTGGCAGCAAAGATAATAAAAGACAACTTTATAAAGCTTCCATCCATGTGCCATCCAGATGGAGGACCTAATCATCAAAGACGGGGTAGAAAACAACGGATATAAAGACATCATGAGGCGACACAGACTGAAGAAAAGAAAAGAGAATCAGGCAGTAGTGAATTTCTGTACTTCGACATGGTCCTAGGTAGCAGCATTTACCCCCGTAAATCTATTCACAAAGCTACTTGAGTTTCACTGGACAACACTACAGAGAACCTAGTAGATGTAGAGCTAGCTCCAAGAATATTTTATATTCTCTCCTGAAAGATCTGGGAAGAAGAACAAGTACAGAAAGAATGGAAAGAGGGAAACCTCATTAAGATAAGAAACAAAAAAGATTTTAATAGGTGTGAAAACTATAGAAGTATCATACTACTTTCAGCACCAGACAAGGTTATCAATATTGTTGTTGAACCAAATAGAAAACCCAATGGACGCCCAAATTAGAGATCGATAAAGGAGACTAAGCAGACTAAAGAATACATGGCACTGATAACTGGAAGAAGACACCAAAATCATTAATACGACTTCGGGACAACTGAGTAGAAGAATCCATTACAGAGACATTTGGAGATCTTTTTCAGAAGCCTAGAGCTCAAAAGGCGTAGCAGGTTTGAGTGAGTCATAAGAAAGATATCATTTGTAAACATATAAGTTATTTTCAGAAGGGGTTTTGTGGAGATTTTAGTATTTTTATAGAGTTGAGATCATGAGTCAATTGAAGCTAGACTACCATGGAAAACCTGGAAGCACTGGACGGCCGTTTCGTCCTATTATGGGACTCCTCAGCAGTGCGCACTGCTGAGGAGTCCCATAATAGGACGAAACGGCCGTCCAGTGCTTCCAGGTTTTCCATGGTAGTCTAGCTTCAATTGACTCATGATCTCAACTCTATATAAGTTATTTGTAGAAAAAATCTTTCGTGTATTGACGTCAAACAAAATGGATATTATCGCAACACATCACACTAGTATAACTCTTAAGATAAATGAAGAGCAGCAAGATCACACTGGATTTATGAATATTCTTAAGAAAAAGCTTACAATCAGAATGGATATTCGACTGAATGTCATTTATACTGCATTTCTGAGATAATGGCAGAAATTTTTTTAGCCACCATTGTGTGTATCCCTCCCCATCCGTAGGATCCAGGATTAATGTACGCCCAGTTGCATAAGCCATTTGAAAACAATGCATTAAGTGATGTGCATTACAACCGAATGCACAAGGTCTATTTAACGAGGCAACCACATATTTAGCTTTTTTACAACTTGAAGGATTCTGTAAAAAAAACAATTACAAAATACGTGAATTGGGATATCATAAGTCTTCTAATTGAACGCTAGATTCGGTTCCTAAGCTCTTCTAGTAACCCTCAGGCCAATTCCACACAGCGACTTGAACACGAAAGAAAAGACGCAAAATATGCAAGAAGCACTTTATTCCAAAGGTTTCTTCATGTACAGAAAGTCTAGGGTTTTCACAGTATTTTTGATGTCCTTGGGTTCCCGGAAAATTCTGGAATGCTACTAAACATAGTAACAGTACAAGTAATCATCCAATCAGAAACTCTACACGTGACTATTCACTTTCTAGATGTTTCTGACAAAGCTTCTAGTGAACGCTGATTGAATAAGATGCTTCTCGGCGTTTTCAGGGCCTTCCTTGGCTTTTTTTCGAGTTTTCTTAACCCCCCCCCAACAGACTATAAATAAACCCTCATCAATTAAATATCTTAGTAAATAAATCATAAATTATTGTACAGAATTTCCTAACAATGAGATACAAATTCGAATCTTTCATACTTTACTAGATATATCATATGATCCTTGACATAATAAATAATAATCGCTAGGGCCAGTCAAACCAAAACATGGCATCAGTCCATGAAGTCATTGATTAATGTACTAAGCCATGTAGATAGGTGCAGAATACCTGGTTGAGGTCCACATGATAACCGCGATCAGTATTTAATGATGTTGAATAACATAGCATGGAATCAATCGCAATAGCAAAGATGTATTCAACTTTCAGTTTCATCTCAGACTCTGAATCCCGATATCTTGTTATACTCTTTTTTGTCATCATACTTAATTTTTCCTATTATACCTACAACTGATACTTAAAATACTGATATGGGGAGCCAATCAGTAGTGGCCCAATCAAAAGGTCAATCGCTGGCAATCAGAAGTGACCTAAAGGACAAGTACATTTCGTTGAAAAAAGAAATGGATCAGTTTCATAAAGATTAAAGTGATATGCATATCAATGAGTATTTGTGCATTTTATTCGGTAGCCCAATACACTTTGTCGCCCACTCGTATGCCCTCACTCAAGTAGTCAGTTGGGAGGTTAGCTCCCCGAATGTCCTGGTATGGCCAAGGATGAAGAGAGTTCTCTCTCCCTCTAAAAAGGTTCTAACATGGCCACGCGTATACAGTCACTGCAAGAGAAGCCTTACTCACTGCCTTCTCGTGGCCGGGGATGTTATTTATGAAATTGATAAAACAAAAAGAGAATGTCCGGTGCTCTATCCGGGTTGGTGGACACGGAGGATCCACCCAAGGGCAGTTGGAAAACCCTCATTCCAAACCAATGATGCACATGGGCTCCAGTATCCTGAAGGAACAAATGGCGTATGAATCAATCGTTGGTCACCGGCTACCATTGGACTGCATCTCCTTACGATGCTCCACTGCCCTGTGGATCAGACCGTTAGGTCAACGGCTCGGTGTGTGGCCCCCTAAAAAAACCACCTGCTTCAGTTTGGGCACTCGAGCAGTATCATGCCCCTTACACGAATCAAATGAGATTTGTGAGGCGCATATTTATCTGGTGCTTCCTTGTACCAATATTTATGTGTTTAAACAAATAAATAAAAAACAGTCAGCAGTACGACTTCGCCTTCGGACCTTGGGTTTGCTGCTTTTAGTCTTACCGCTCTTCGACCGACCTGTCTGGCATGGTAGGACCTTGAGGAACGATTGTTCAAGCTAGTATAGCTCGATTGGTTCATCCCGACCACCACGTCAAGGTAGCGGCAACGGTCGAGTGTTACAACAAATAATTAACTAATCATTTGGACCCCAACCAGGTAGCCTGGATCTGTGAAAAGTGCCAAAACAAACAGTAAATGATTTTAGAGACTGATACTGTATTTTGGTTTGGTCGCTTCTGGCTTTTTCCCAACTTACCGCTATCGCAGCCATCAGTGGACATCGAGGAAGGTAGTGAGTAGATCATACTTCTTAAACACTTCTCTTATCTAGTTAGACAAGATTAACAGCGTCTTAAAAATAAGAATACGGAAATTGAATACTGATGACATGCATTACACCAATGAAAAAAGTAAACTGATAGTTCCAATAGATACATTCATCAGTTTGTTGGGGCTCTGAATAGACATTTTTATCCAATTTCTTCTCTGGACTTGTTACCATTTGTTTTTTAAACTTTTTATTTGAATTAGAGACTTTTAACTAGTGATTTGTGATTCCTTACATTGTTAATCTGTTAACTGTCCTATACTATTGTTTACAATCTGCGTAACACCAAAAAGTAATAGATTGCATAAATATAATCGGCCCAGAAAAATTGACCAATTACAGACGAAACAAAAAAGTAAATTCTGTCTGTCTATTAACACAGATCCGAAATACCTTATGTACTTATAAGGTCGCAAATCGAAAAGATTGGCATCCCATTCAAACAATAAGCCTACGTTTGTAGATAAATAAGATAATCCTCTTTAATTTCCGAGTGGTAGGTTATCTATTAAATGTCAATACTGAGAAACAATGGAAGTGTCTTTAAACAACCTGTACAAAGGAAGCAGCATAAAATACAATTCTGTATTGTGAAATTTAGAAATATGGTTTTAGGTGTTCAAGGTTATCTGCTATCAATCTCCACACATTTATTTAGGGGAAAGTTATGTAGGATTAGAAGCATCCACAAATTTTAAGGACGAAAGGTAATGACTGTCGTATGCTATTAACGAGTTCAATATGAACAGGGCATTAGAGTCTTAAAATGTGCAGAGCTGTAGTTCGTTAGTTCAAACATAATGGGTAAGTATAACTTGATAGTCCTAATATAATCGCTATAGGTCGAACAGCCTAGTGTCACAGTCATGAAGAGTTGTTATAAAGATCCAAATAATAACACACAATACTATTTAATGTACAACCAACCTGCAATTGGAATAATTCACTTTGAAGTTCATTTGATAAATATTCCAGATAATTTATTCGTGATTCCAACACACCGTCAACTCGTCCAATCCCATCAATATCAACGTGTAAGTGTAGTGAAATATCCTGCAACTGACTTTTTAATTGCTCCACTGAGACTTTCACTTCTTTTAACGGTCTAATTAAAGAGTAGTTTTTGATAGTTTTTATTTTCTCATTTACACTGTCGAGTTGAACAAGACTATACTTGATTTCACGAGCATACTGCAAGGCACGGCGACGTAAGATCTCATATGACATACCATGTATCCCAACTATGGGGACAAGTAAAAATAAAAGAGTAGTACTGATAAACACAGTGAATAACCTTTACACGAATAACGAATATTCTTGATGTTTCATTGCTCTTCACACCTAAAATTTCTAGGGTAGAAGCCTGTAAGATTAGTTTGGACGTTATTTCTCCTCCTACTCTGTTAGTATGTTCTTCACAACGTATCATCCATATGTCGACAGGAAAATGAACACTTGTCAATAAGTCGTGCCATTGTACCGTTTTCTAGTTTAGTGAGAAAAATGTCAGCCAGTATGAGACCTAGTAGTGAACCCAGTGCGAAGCCATCTAATCGTCTATATATTTCACCATTTAATTTGAAGTTTACGTTCACAGTACAGTTAGGTAAAATTTCCTTAACGATGCCCAGAGGGATTGTAGTCTCTATTTCTAGTTCTCTAAGTTGTTCACAGATATATTCGAGGGTCTCCATGAGTGAGACATTTGTATATAATGATGCTACATCGTTTGTTTTTGATCTTGTCAACGAACTGGAATACATCCTTCATTAGGTATTTGTGTAATGGCTCGAAAATGGTTACTAACAGCTTTACTACAGTATGATGAGGGGAATTGAACATGTCCAGAATTGGTCTCAATGGGATATACGGTATATGTACATTCGGTAATCCATATAACCTTGGTAAATGAGTGTCTATCGGCCTATTGTTTCGTATATATTTGGGGAAATTATGTTGTCATTTGAACTTTTTCACAGATCTCGTCTGTTTATTCTCTATATTATTACTGATGCACTTTTGGTCATTTAGTTTTTCGGATTTTAGGTGACCAGTCAAGATGGTAGTCTTGTCAATACAGTTCTTAGCTAAATAAGACAGTTCCTGTTCCTTCACCGGGCTTTTTAATCATGAAATTTTCCTTCTTAATGAGTTCATCGAAAGCCTTTATGTGTTTTTTCATTAAAATGGTTCATCAGTTATATCCACTGTTTTTAAACGTACAGAAACAATTGAGTAGAATTGGTTTAAAATGTTCAATTATTTGATCGGAGGTCGGGACGAGATCTGATATCTGGAAATCCAAGTCTTAAAATTGAATTCCTCTTGCGTGTACTATAAAACTTAAGACCCAGAGCTACCACTCCAAGTTTTCCTTTGTTTAGCTCCGTACAAGACAAATTATGAAGGTACATTTTAGGTCTAGTCAAAAATTTATTTTCGACTGGTAGAATTATTAGGCTTTTCAGAAGTTCGCCGATCTTTGGTTAAATATCTTTGCAACGTGATCCGTAAACTGTGACCTTTGTAGGCTTATCAACAGCAAACTTTCTGAGAACAATGTTTATTGCCATTTCTTTCAAATTAGTATTGAATGTATCGATTAGGTAAAATGCATAACATCTTAATGCTCATCTGTTTAGATGAATCTGATTACAGAGTAATGATTTATAGAATAGTTTAGGCTATTAACCTAACTCAATAAACTTTCCTACGAATTCCAACGATGTTTTCGTCTCTATGACCTTTATACTACACCCAAGGAACTAGTTGTGTCATCAATGCAATGGGTTGATCATATTTTATTCGCCAAAGAATTCCTACCATATTTAAAACACAGATACAAGAACGAAGAATACTCTCAATAAATTCTCTTAAGCTCATACAATTATATATTAGAATTATTAATCTGAAAATTAGACACGTCTAATTTACAAATTCTTAGAACACCTCTCAATATAATTTGCTTCACAAGAACATTTGAATTTATATACACATAAAGAGGTGGTTAGTCTATATAATCTATATTTCAATCTTAGAGTAGCCATCAGATGTGTAGAAAACATTAATTGTAGTTTCCCTACGCTAAAGGTTCTTTGGATTGTTCTATGCAACTCTAAGGAATTATTTTAACCTGGTATCAAAATGTTTAAAGGGTGAACTAAAAACAGTAGCAAGTATGGTACACTATTAAAGATTATGTAAATAATGATTTACAGCTCACAGTGCTCTATATAGAAAATATTTAGTCAATGCCAGAAACTGTCACACATAACTTACCTCTGTCTACAATGGTATTTTCTTCTTTATTTCTATTGCAAAAGAATGAAATTAATCGGAAGATTGTATTATTATAATTCGTATTATTGATAATGTTTAAAAAACGAAAATATATTGCAGCATTTAAAGACAAACTTTTAAATGAGATTACTGAATATAGTCAATGATGTCATGGACTGAATCCATATTTTGGTTTAACCACCCCTTGTTTTCTTCTGTCCTAATCCTAAACCAGACAGCATTATCCGTTGAAATACGTAATAATTGGGCATTTGTAACACATTTCCCAATCATCTCAGCCGATGACAACTTATTACCTCATCAAGTGATTTAGCATCCTTAGCTCGCAGTCTATGCCTAATTATAACATTCCTCATTCGGTGATACCAACATACATGAACAGTTAGTGTACTTCTTTGGTAAGCCTTTCAACGACATTGTCACGAAACCTCTTGATTAACGGAGTCAAATACCGTCTTAAGGTTAAGAAAGAAAACTATTATTGGGGGCAAATAAGTACTCATTCGTTCTAAAACTTGACGAAGATTAAACATTTAGTCGATACATCCACAGTCAGGTTTAAATCAACTGATTCTCCAAAGCTTTTGTTTCACGAACGTTAGTTTAGCGTTAGATAATTATGAAGGCTATTATTTTAGATATCACATCAGTCAAACTGATTCCACTGTGATTGTCTGAGACGATCCTTGTCCTTTCTCCTTGACCATAACGATCGCTGATTAAAACCAGACGGATGGGAATACGTCGAGCTCTCAACCTCTATCTAGTGTTTGTTGGTTTATTAACTGCAAGTGGGCCACTATCCTTGAAGATCTATAGCGTTACTCTACCAAGACCTGCTGCTTAGCCTCGTTTTAGGTTCCCTATAGGCTTTCTAATCTCAAGTGTTCAGAAACAAGTCAGTCTCTCATGTATGTCGCTTGAAAATAACGTGCAACTGCAGTTCGTTTGGTACAAGGAAACACCAGATAAATATGCGCCGCACAAATCTCATTCGATTTGTGTGAAGGCTGTGATACTGCCCAGATGCCAAAACTGAAGCAGGTGGTTATCTTAGGGGGCCACATCCGGAGCCTTTGACCTAACGGTCTGATCCACAAGGCAGTGGAGCATCGCGAGGAGATGCAGTCCCGTGATAACTAGTGACCGACGATTGATTCATACTCCATTTGTTATCTCAGGATACTGGAGCCCATGTGCACCATCGGTTTGGAATCTCGGTTTTCCAACTCCCCTAGGTGGACGCGCCGTGTCCACCAACCCGGATGAAGAGTCGGGTATTCGCTTTTCTTTCTCTCGATTTCGTAATCAACACCCGTGGTGCGAGGAGGCAGTGAGTAGGACTTACCTGGCAGAGGCTATATAGGTGTGGCCATGTGAGAGCATTTCGAGATGGAGAGCGGACCCTCCCCACTCTCGGCTGTACCAGGGCGTTTAATATGTTGAGACAATATAAGACAAGTTTCCCAGTTGATCTTAGTTTATCGATCTGGGTCTACTACAGTGATGATGTCCAAGCGCCTAGCAAACGCATCTTTTACTGGAACCAAGCTGCAGTTACTGAGAGTGTAGGCAGAAACGACGAAAGGGCAATAGTATATGCTCTTGTCTCTAATTTCTTACTACCCCATCAAGACGGACAGAATAAAAGCAACTATTGGCAGGAATCCAGTCAAGAATTGCCTGCTATTTTTAGACCTGGAGCGAGACTATAACCCAAACAACCAGTAAAGGGGAAATAAAGTGAAAAATGCATTGGAAAATAAATAATGATAAAATTAATAAATACCCGTCGAACTTCCGATTTTTGCCCTAAGTATCCAACTAATTGCCGCCTTTCAACCTAAATATCCGACGAACTGCCGACTTTTACCCTAAATATCCGACGAATTCATTCATGGACGAGCCAATCAGAAGCCGGAATGAGGTTTTGGTGAAAGATTAATTAATCTTAAAACCTATAACTAACTTGGCATTATACGACGTGAGGAATATCCTTAGGTTTGCCGACCCGATATCGACTTGCGTTTTCAAACCAGTAATTACATCCAGTAAAGATTGACACGCTGAAGTTTGCTGATCACTACTTTCCAGATTGAAGAAATTGAAACTCAAATAGATAATTACGCAGATCCATAAAGCGACTGCTGTAGTTATCAAAGGGCGTACATGGAACAAGTTTTTAAAACCTATAAAAACATAATAAAGTAGATGACGATGCTTACTTGTAACAACCATCTATGAGATTAATATACGCGCCTTTTTAGTAGGACGTCTCAGTTTCTAGGACTAAGAGAAAACACTAAATTCTTTACGTCAAAATTATTACATTACACAACGAAATTCTCCTTAATATATGGACCAATATTGGAAGAGGACGTCTTGATAGTGTGGAAAGTCTGAGTGAATTATATGTTACAAACAATTTACAAAATTTAACTTAGCGATTAAATAGGAGAAACTTATAACTAGCTTACATGAACAGTTCGTTAATATACTTTCCTAGCAGGCAGTTGTGACCATTAAGTATGCACTATCATTTGCATAAATGAAATACCCCTGTAGGGCCATGTCGGGCTCACTAGTGTAGACCATCAACGTTGATGGTCTACACTGGTGAGCAAGACTTCGAATAACGCAACCTATCATTATGATCTTTATATTGCATTCTATACTTATTGTTTTTCATTTTTAACTTCGCCTATGTTAATCAGTTGCTGTGAACATTCGTTGCTTCATATCCTTGTTGATTAGTATTTCAACTTAAATAATTAGTTCAATCGATAGAACTAGCCAATCAACTACGACTGTAATCGGCTATCGTGGTTCTTTAACAAACATTAGCAGTATGTAAATGCTCCTGTTCAATATGTCTGTTAAAATAACAACTACTCGTAATCATAGCCACATGACAACACGAACTCATATCTGTTTGCAACTTACCCACTTGTATAAGCAATACAGATTTAACTGTCGATTATAAATTCATCTTTCTGCTTAATCACTATTAACTAACTTCTATCAGAAATTATCTACCAGAATATTTTACTTACTTGTCCACTGCATGCCTAATTTCCCAATCGCTGAGTTCCATGGCGAATCAGAGGATACGAATGCTAGAAATTTACGGTGAGTTTGAATTATAAATTTTCTGCAGTGTTAGATCTTGTTTAGACTGTTCATTAGGCAATTCTACGCGTTTGGCTTAAATTAAATTTGAACTTATACAAATTCAGTCTACAATATTTCGTTAATCTACGAATTTAATCAGCAAATTTCAATTACTTGGGAGCAAGAGTAACCCAGGCGAGTTTCAT